GATAGTAGAGATAACCTATAATAATAATAATAACTATAAAGCCCTTATAAATAATAGAAGTTCTTATCTACTACTAATCCTATTCTATAATAAGGATTACTATAATTAAAAAGGGAATAATTATAAAGGTTTAGCTACTTAGACTAGAAGGACTTAATAATAGTTTAGCTAAACTAAGCTAAAAGGATAGAGAACCTTATAGAGATAGGGTATAGAACTTTCTATAGCGAGGACTTAGTAAATACTCACTAAAGAGTTAGAAAAGAAGATCTTAGAAGAAGTAAGCAAAAATAGTATAATAATATTATACTTACCTTTTAGGGTGCTTCTTCTATCAGTTTAACTTAACTATAGCCTATAGCCCCTAAATACCTTTATAGATCTAAAGATCTAGCTTATTAAATAGTATATTATGTTCTATATTATTAGTAATTAGTATATTATATATAGGTTAAAGAACTATATTTATTAATCCTTTATAGAAGTAAATATTATAGTAATAAATAACTTTCTTCTTCTCTAAAATATAAATATAATAAATATAGCTGTAGAGAGATATATATCTAATAAGATATCTCTTTATTATATAAACCTCTATCTTTCTAGAATAAAAAGGATAGTTAATATTTTTCTTATAGATATAAGTAGTATAACTAAAAGTATAAAGATATTTAATATAAAGTAGTTTATAATTAGTAGTAAGGTTAAGTTTATAAACTATAATCTTATAAGGGTTTATTTTACTCTTAGTATCCTAAAGTAGAAAGTTAAATACTTAAATAGTTAAATTAAGTAAGTAATCTTAAAGCTTTTTAGATAAGTTAGTATTAATTAACTATATATAAGCTACTTTAATAATAATTCTTTTAGTATACTTAATAAAGCTATTTATAGAAAGTATATTAGTAATAGTAAAGTTAATATAAGTATTAGTAAAGTATAGATTATAAAGAACTTTCTTAAACTCTAAAGTATTATTATAGACCTAAGTTTTAATATTAAAGCTAATTATATTAATAAAGATATTATAGAAGTTCTTAATAGTATTATAAATAACTTTATAATAATAATTAAGTATAAAAATAAGCTAATAATATCTATTATATTTATTAAGAAAATATAAAGTATAATACTTACTAGTTATTAATAGAGGCTTAACTTTAATAAAGTTAAGATATATCTTTTCTGTAATCTAAATAAGAGGTAAAAGAGAATTATAGTTAATAATCTCTATTAACTTAGCTAAATAATATACTTTATAATAGAAGTTCTCTATCTCCTCTTTACTAAATATAATACCTATATAGTAGTAAGCTTTAATAACTCTAAATAGATAAGTATAAATTAAGTAATAATATATTATCTTAAAAGTTAGCTTAAGGTTATAGTAAACGCTAATAAGAGTAATAATAGTATTAATAGGTATATTAAAAGTTATATAGGTCTAGAGAACTATAATATCTATAATCTATTTAACTTTACTAATAAAATAAGTATTATTTATATATATAAAGCTATTAGACTTATAGTTATAATTAATACTTACTTTATAAAGTTTACTAAAGCTAAATAAGTTAGTAAGATTTAGTAAGCTATACTTAATATTATTAATAGTTTAATTAATTATCTTAGATAGGTTAAAAGGATTATAAGTCTAAAAAATATAATACTAATACTAAGAGGATAAATATTATCTCTATTAATAGCTATAAAGGGAAGTAGATTATTATAAAGAGTATATTTTATAAAATGCTTTATATTATAGAAAAGATAACTAAAGTATTTAGAGTTAATAATAATATTATTATAATAGATTATATAGCTATTAATAGTAATATAGATTAATAAGCTAGTAATATAATAATCCTATATAGTAATACTAATAAAAGCTAAGCTACTAAGAATACTAAATAAACTTTTTATAAAGATAGAAGTAGTTAGAGTAGTATTAATACTATCTCTCTAATAATCTTTATTATATTTATACTTATTAGCCCTCTTAAGAAAGCTTATTTAGTTCTTATAAGTTAATAGGATTAGCTCTAAATAAGCTATTTAATACTTCTTAGATAAGTAGTTTATATTATAGTAAATATAAATTACTTTATACTTATTAGTTAATAAGTTATTACTATTATTATTAGTATAAAGGGTATATAAAGTTAATAACTAAAGCTAAGATCTATCCTTATAGAGTAATAAACCTATCTTTTATTCTTTATTTTAAGTAAAAATATAAATAGTCTTAATAATATTAGTTTATATAAGCTTCTTATTATTATTAATATAATACTTATAGGTATCTAATAGCTAGGTTTTAAAGTAGTTTAAGAGTAGTATAGCTTATAGATAGTTAGAAAAGTTACTTATAAAGTTAGTAATATAAGTCTAAAAATACTAAATATACTTAAAAGTATTATAAAAAGTCTTATAATCCTAAGTAAAACCCTTAATAAACTTATTAATAAGAGCGTTAATAATATCCTTAGAAACCTTAAGAATATACTTCTTAAGTATTTATATAAATATAAAGGGATTACTATTATCCTTCTATCCTATATTAAGTAACTTATTAATAAAAGTATAATATAAGCTAATAAGTAGTATAAAGGTAGTATTATACTCCTTAGCTTATATCTCCTTAATAGTATTATTACTATTAAACTTAAGGATATCCTTATTAATATACTTCTTAACTTAGTTTAATTATAGAGTAATATTAATAAAAACTAACTATAATTATTAGTTAAATTTACTTTTTAGCTAGGAAATATTAAATAAGAAGGTCTTAATACTTTTACTTATATTACTAATTATTTAAAAGGATATAAATAGAATAATAAGAAAGTAAAAGAGAGGGAAAATATTATTAATTAATTAATATATTAAAGTAAGTTATAAAAAGTAAAGTAATATTACTATCTAATATATTACTTAATAAGGTGAATTTTTATATAAATAATAGTAGTTTAATATATTAAGAGCGATTAGAAGTTATATTACTATTTACTAGCTACATTTAAATATATAGATAACTATAAAGAATAAGAAGAATATTATAAGGGTAGAAAAATGCTTAATTTAAAGCTATAGATATTAGTAATCTAAGTACTAAGCTTATAACCTATAGAGGTATAGGTAAATAAGTAGTAGTGATATATATAATGATCTAGCTAAGTGGGCTGCCTAGCTAGGAGGCTGGAAGAAGGCACTAGGGGGCCCTGGGCTGCACAGGCCACCTGGGGCACCTGTGGGCAGGTGCCGCTACACTTGGCAACATCAGGCTGTGAAGCTTCATGGAGTCTGCTGCAAGGGAGATGGAGTATTGGCAAAGGTGGGCTCATGGCTCTGCAGCCACCCCGGTCTGTGATCGCTTAACGAGGACATCTTTGCGAGACGATCACCTATTAACGGCATCAAGTCCGTTAAGCGATCGCATCAGCTCGGATGTCCAAAAATATGGCTGGCTTGCCCCTCTCACCCCGTGGCAGTAGTTCCTCATTCCTGCGGGGCGACAGCCTGATCCAATGCTTGTTCTAACATCTTGGGATGGGGACCGGTCTAGGCAGAAGAATAAGCCTGCGGAGATAGCAAGAGTGCCACAGTAGGACGATAAGACGAATGCATTCCAGGGTTTGGGGCTTGTTGTTGAAGAGAAAGAAGCTGATTCTTGCGCAGCATGTGCGGTGAATTGGATTTGGATTCATGTGGTAGCGGGGTGAAGAAACCGGAGATGAAGCTCAGTGTGTTTACGGCGGAGTGTACTCAAGCTCAGAATTGGGCGAGCAAGTCAACATCCGGAGATGGATTCAACCTGGCCGGTTGGCCCAATGGCAAGGCGTCTGACTACGATTCAATCGTGCAATCAGGAGATTCTGGGTTCGACCCCCAGGCTGGTCAACTCTTTTGCATTTTGGAGTGATTCGCAATTTTTGGTGCGGTGCGATTTTTTTTCGTTGCGGGTCCGGCCTAAAATCGGGCCTGCCGGGGCCAGGGCTTTTTTTTTTTTTAAGAGTTCCGGCCCGGGATTGGCTGCTGATCGCCGTAGCGCCGAAAAGTGAAATGCGGGATGCCGGGTCATCAAGTGCCGATTTCTGCTACCGAATGGCAGAGAGTTGTATAATTTACGGATGGCTGAACTCAATAAACATAAGAGAACAATGGCGCAATGATAGCATCTGGTAGACCTCATTCAATTGTCAACAGCCGCAGATTGGGTTACGTTGGTGTATGAGTAAATTACCTGGAGTCGGCGATTATGGAAAGTCGGGGGCGGGTCCACGAGGTCCGGATGTATCGATGGCCCGGCCGGATAAGACTGACTAATACTCTTGCCCTGGTCTTCAATGACATTTCCGTTAACTTTGTGTCTTCATTGTCGTTATTCTCATCATTGCCCATGGTCAGTCAACATGCTCAAAGAGACGAACAAACACGCGTATGCCCGGGCAATAGTGCCGCCTCTGACTACGACGGCCATGAGAGCATTTGACTGACGTCAAATGCTCCTCCGAAGCTCCCGTTCACCAAGCACGTAATCAAGGACCGAGCTCCCACCTCCCGGGAGCTCTGGGAGCTAGACCCTGAAGCTTATTTCGACGATAACGGCCCCGCGATTCTCGGCCGCCGCGAGCTGTTCGGCTTCGGATCCAATCTGCCCCCTGGCAATGCGACCTTCAAGATCACCCCTCCAGAAACTCTAATAGATATCCAGCTATCTAATCGCCGCAGCTTGGATTGAGACGACCGCATAACCAGCGCACGTCTAGTATGGAGAGCCCGTTTGATAAGGGTGGTTTTCAGATGACGAGTCATGAAACAGAACATTCGGAAGTTTGTTGCCTTGTCGCAGGAGCTCCGTCCGAAGTCGATGCCCCGCGATATGAGGTATGAGGGGGGTATAAAGTAGCTCTCATACCTCCGAAATCACTCCTGCGCATTACTGTATAGAAGCAGAGAATCACGAAAAGGGTTTAAGATCTCGAGAACCAACATCCAAAATGCCACACCGCGTTCTCCTTACCGGCGCAAACGGCTTCATCGCCCAGCACATCCTCGCCCAGTTCCTCGAGGCCGGCCACTCCGTCCGCGCCGTCGTCCGCTCCCAGTCCTCCGCCGACCAGCTCAAAGCCACTTTCGCCGCCTACCCCTCCTCGCAGCTCGACTTCGCCCTCGTCCCCGACATCGCGGCCCCGGGCGCCTTCGACACCGCCCTCGTCTCCGACCCGCCCTTCGACCTCGTCCTGCACACCGCGTCCCCCTTCAACTTCCGCGCCGGCAAGTCCAACAAGGACTTCATCGACCCGGCCGTCAAGGGCACCACCGAGATCCTGCACGGCGTGCTGCGCAAGGGCAAATCCGTCAAGCGCGTCGTCATCACGAGCTCCATGGCCGCCGTCATCGACGGCGCCGCCCCGCCCGTGACGTCCCCGCCCAAGATCTACTCCGAGAAGGACTGGTTCAAGATCTCGCGGCACGAGGCCGAGACCACGGACAACCCCGTCATTCCCTACGTCTCCTCCAAGATGTTCGCGGAAAAGGCCGCCTGGGAGTTCCTCGTCGAGAAGCAGCCCCCCTTCGACATCGCGACCATCAATCCGCCCATGGTCTACGGGCCCATGCACGACGCGTCGTACCTCAAGGCTCCCGCGGAGCTCAACCAGAGCAACTTCAACCTGTACAGCTTCTTCCTCGGCCCCGGACTGACGGAGACGAGCGCTGTCCCGCCAGAGCAGCTGCACCTGTACGTCGATGTGCGCGACGTGGCGCGCGCGCATTTGTTGGCGGCGACGAAGCCCGCTGCCGGCGGGAACAGGTTTGTGGTGAGCCCCGGCGGGATCTCGCACCAGCAGGTTGCGAACTACTTCAGGGAGGCGCTGCCGGAGCTGGCGGGGAGGATACCAAAGGGCGACCCGGAGAAGACGGCCCTGCCGGAGGGCATCTTTGGGGTGGATTCGTCGTCGGCGAAGAGGCTTCTGGGGCTGGAGTATACGGATGAGAAGAAGACGTTCACGGACGTCGCGAAACAGTTTTATGAGATTGAGAAGCGGGCGACGGCGGCTTGAGAAGTGTTTCTAGGGTGTAACTTGCATGAGAACAAATGAACAGCGTGATGACCCTTTTTCAGAGAGACTGCATACTTTTCTACCTTGTAGTGTTAGAGCGACTACAATTCCTGTCTTATTACAGCCGTCGTCATCTAGACGCCTCTATCGTCTTATAGTTTGCTGCTCCCGGCTTTTGAAAACTGCAAGCTCTTGGTGTAGCTGTACGAAAGCAGCCCCTGCTTGCCCATCTCTCCTCCGATGCCGCTCTCCTTCTGCCCCGCGAAGAAGCCGCCCGGGTGCGGCTGCTCGGGCATGTTGATCCACACGGTGCCGGCCTCGAGGGACCTCGCGATGCGTTCGGCGCGGCTGACGTCTCTGCAATAGACGGAGGCGCCCAGGCCTGCGTTGCTGAGGTTCGCTCGTTGGACAACGTCGTCTTCGGTGGACCACGAGAGGACGGGGATGATGGGGCCTGGGTGAGATGTTAATCTTTCTAATGGCGTCTTGTAAAAAGGTGATTTGAGTTCTGTCAACTTACCAAACTGTTCCTCTCTCACGAGCATCGAGTCTTCCGGGGGCTTGACCACAATCGTCGGCGGCACCCAGAGCCCCTTCCCGTCCAGAGGATTCTCCGCCGCAACGACGTTATACCCGTTCTTCTCACAATCCCTCACAATTTCCTGCACAACATCATACTGCGCCTTGTTCGACACCGGCCCGAACAAACTCGGCGCCGCCGCGTCCCCATTCACCGCAAATGCCTTCTGCACCTCCTTCGTAAACGCCTCCAAGAACGGTTCATACACGCTTTCGTGTACATATACCCGCTTCGTCGCCACACACATCTGCCCGGCATTGAAAAAGCACCCCGTAGCCACCTTCCCCGCGGTCTCCGCCACATCCACGTCATCGGTGACCACGCACGCATCGTTCCCCGCAAGCTCAAGCGTCAGCCTCTTCAGCGTCCTCGCGCAGCTCTCCATCACGCGCTTTCCCGTAGCGACCGTGCCCGTGAAGCTGATCTTGGCGATGCCCGGGTGAGTTGTCATCGCGGCGCCGAGGTCTGCGCCGCCGTTGAGAACCTGCACGACGCCGGGGGGCAGGACGGGGATGAGCAGTTCGACGGACTTGAGGACGGAGTAGGGCGTGAAGGGGGATGGTTTGACGATGACGCAGTTGCCCGTGACGAGGGAGGAGACTATTTTGATGTTGGAGAGAATGAGGGGGAAGTTCCAGGGGCAGATTGCGCCGACGATGCCGAGCGGGGTGTGTGTCGCGACGATTTTGAGGGAGGCGTCTTCGAAGGTGACTTCATCTTCGAGATGGACCTTTGCTAAGAGGTTGTGAGGATGTGGGAGGTGTGGGAGGGTTGAAGAGGACGTACTGTAGTAGAGAGTCTGTTGGCAGGTGTTTCCGATTTCGATCTCGGCCATGAGAGTCTGAGTGAGCGTTAGTTAGGTCACCGGTGTAGCTTATGTTGGGGTATCTCACCGATTTGCCCGTCTCCTTCATGACAATCTCCATGAGCTCCTGCTTATTCGCCGTAAAGACCTCGACGATCTTGCGCAGGTATTCCGAGCGATCCTCGACCGAGGTTTTGGACCATGTCTTCAGCGCCTTCTGAGCTGCCTCAACAGCCTCATCGAGGTCCTTCGTCGTAGCCAGAGGAGCGTCCCATAGCGGCTCTTCGGTGCGGGGATCGATGCACTGGTGGTTGTTGTCGCTGCTTCGGCGCTGACCGTCGATAACGTTGAAGAATTTCATGATGCGATTTTCCTACCAAGTCTATATACAAATCTTTTTAGATCATAATTGAACCCCATGATGGCACCGGGGCTGGATATATCTACAGCATTCACGGGTTATTCCACACTCTCCGTTGCCGGAAACATGCTTAGTACTCGCTGACCATTGCCACGGAATCCCACAATGCTACCATGCTCCTGCGGAGAATGAGGGGTTCTGCCCAGTCGGCAACGCCATCCAGCGCGTGGGATTCCGGAACTGGCACCGGGAGGGCGTGGAATGCTGGTTAAGGTTTGGCGGCAGTTGAGATGGGGCTAGGAGAGGCGCGCGCGGGGCTGCATCTGGCAAACTCTGTCTTTGTTTGCGGGCGGGAGATGGGATGAAAAGGGAAGGGGAGCTGTCAAAAGTCGCAATGTCACCTCGACAGTAATCTGGAAGAGGGGCATGCGGGGGCCAAAAAAAGAGTGCACACTCTCCAATCGATGTCACCACTTTAACGTTAGCTACACTGCTGAATAGGCCTAAATAATCTCGAGATTACTCATCAAGTAGCCCGAAGCTCAAGGAATCTTACGAATGTAGATGTTAGACGGTTAAGTATGCTTCGTCGTGGGTAGTAGACTGTGAGTAGAGGCTGGGAAGTTAGACACTACGTTTTTAGAGGGATATAGTCAGTCAATCGTGCTGCCTCGGCATACCTGGGCCCGTGTTACATGTCTAACCATGAGACCGCCTCAATTTTCTGTGTCTGCGCAGCTATGTTTCCTGCGTACCTATCTATCGACGATAGTAGCAATAGCAATAGCGATAATAAGGATAGTGAAGACGATAGAAACGAAGACGATAGAAATAACAATAACAACAACTAAACAATGAAAAGTAGTCGCTCTATCACAGGAAAAATAGGCGGTCTCCTAATTATCATTTAGATATGCAGCCCTCTCGCTCTCTCAATGCGCTAAAGATTCTCAACATTACGACTTCAAAAGCATCTAATCTCTGACATGTTGGTGCTCGTAGTAGGCTTGTAAGCTTGTAGCCAGAGACCTACCAGCACGGTGATCGTTACTGGCTTCTCTTCGAATTCTCATTCATTAGTCCTTGTGAGAAAGACCAAGACTCGATACGCATATGCAAGTACTATAAATATCCCCATACCATCCGACTGTATGTCCACGCAACAACAATTCGCGTGGTGGGATGTATCTAGTGTCTGATTTGAGGCTGGGCTCTCTGCAGTCAAGCCATCGTTGCCTTGATGTAGGCTATGCCGTGCCACAGGTTTCCCCCGGGGCAAGCTCGTACCCCATCGGTATTATTTCACTATTCTTCACCGATGTCTAGTTATTCTGCTCATAATAATCAGTCAACGCCAGCAAAGGGACTTGGCTGAGCCACCTCTCAATCAAATATTCGAGTGCTGGCACAAGTTCTCCAGTCCATTAATCACAAATGTTGCAGAGATGGCGATTCCAACAAACATCTCCATCCTAGGGCAATGTGACGAAGTTCGGGCAGCGAGTGGGAATGGTGGAAGCGTCCGACGAGACGGAAGCGGAGCCGGCCGACAGAGGGGCCGCTGCGAACCGGCGCAGGGCGCTGCAGGGGGATGCACAGGGCGCTAGATGAGCCCGGCCGCCCATCCACCAGCGGCGGCTCTCCACGAAATCCGACGGCGGCCAGCCCAGACGCTGGAGGAAGGAGGGGCGATGGAGGGGGAGGGGCCGACGATAACGCTACGCGACCCGCTAAAAATCGCAGTGACAGTGGCATCGCCCCGCCGATAAGCTCAAACAGCCCTGATGTGATTCGCAGGGCCTTCAGCCATTACAGGCACAAATGCATCTCGTTGTCGTACCAAGCCTGCGGAATGCGTGTGTTGCGAGGAAACAGATCTCAAAATGGCATGATGGGCGAATAGGAATTTCTGGAACGCAACGGAGCTGTCACAACGACGCCAGACGATCCACCTGATAACAACCGGACAGCGACACACAGACAGGACCGGGGTCAGAGCTACCCCTACCTGGCCTCACTGTAAACTCCAGCGGTGCCACGCCCGTTACTAGTCTCGTCTCGTCTCGTCTTCGCCGCTTGCTGTCGCTTTAAAGCTGCGGGGTTGGCTCGACCGCGATCCCCAACGCACGCCTTCACTTCTTTCACTTTTCTCCTTTTTCTGGAATTTGCAGTCAACAGAGTTCTTTGGCCGGTGACTTGTGTGTGACAGTCCCAGCACCAACCAGGACACAAGGCCAGACACCATGGCGCCCATCGCCATCTCCCCCGAGCGGGATGCCGGGCCGTTGAACACGCTGACCACCGACTTTGACGACACCATCCGCTTCTACCTCAACGGCACGCGCGTCGTCCTCGACGAGATCGACCCCGAAGTCACCCTGCTAGAGTACCTGCGAGGCATTGGTCTGACCGGAACCAAGCTGTACGTCCGCTCGGAAGCACCCAAGGAGTCTATCACACGCTGACAGCGCACAGGGGATGTGGCGAAGGCGGCTGCGGTGCCTGCACCGTCGTCATCTCCCAGTTCAACCCGACAACGAAGCAAATCTACCACGCGAGCGTCAACGCCTGTCTGGCTCCCCTGGCCAGCGTCGATGGCAAGCATGTCATCACCATCGAGGGCATCGGAAACACGAAAGCGCCACACCCCGCCCAGGAGCGAGTGGCAAAGACAAACGGCAGTCAGTGCGGTTTCTGCACACCCGGAATCGTCATGAGCTTGTACGCGCTGCTGCGCAACAACCAGGCACCGTCAGAAGAGGACATCGAGGAGGCGTTCGACGGAAACCTGTGCAGGTGTACGGGATACAAGCCCATCCTCGAGGCCGCGCAGACGTTCAGTGTTGAGAGGGGATGCGGCAAGGCGAGGACAAACGGCGGCTCCGGCTGTTGCATGGAAAATGGCAACGGCGAGAAGAAGGCGGGCGGGTGTTGCATGGACAAGAAGGCGGCCGACGACCAGCCCATCAAGAGGTTCACGCCACCCGGATTCATCGAGTACAAGCCTGACACGGAGCTCATCTTCCCCCCGATGCTGAAGAAGCACGAAATGAGGCCACTAGCGTTTGGAAACAAGAGGAAGAGGTGGTTCAGGCCCGTTACGCTCTCCCAGCTCCTTGACATCAAGAGCGTCTACCCCTCGGCCAAGATCATCGGCGGCAGCACCGAGACTCAGATTGAGATCAAGTTCAAGGCGCAGCAGTACCCTGTTTCTGTCTTCGTGGGCGATATTGCTGAGCTGAGGCAGTACGAATTCAAGGACGATCACTTGGAAATCGGCGGAAACGTCATCCTGACCGATCTCGAGCACATCAGCCAGGAGGCCACAAAGCACTACGGTGAAACCCGAGGCCAGGTATTTGAGGCTATCTACAAGCAACTGAAATACTTTGCTGGACGGCAGATTCGAAATGTCGGTACGCCCGCTGGCAATCTGGCGACGGCGTCGCCGATTTCAGATCTCAACCCTGTTCTGTGGGCTGCCAATGCTGTATTGGTTGCCAAGTCTCAAAGCAAGGAGACGGAAATACCCATGTCACAGTTCTTTACCGGCTACCGCAAAACAGCACTTGCGCAAGACGCCATCATTGCTTCCATCAGGATACCGGTTACGGCCTCCAAGGGCGAATTCTTCAGAGCGTACAAGCAGGCCAAGAGGAAAGACGACGACATCGCCATCGTGACCGGTGCTCTGAGAATCAAGGTGGACGATGACGGTGTCGTTACCGAGAGCAATCTGATCTACGGCGGCATGGCTGCCATGACTGTGGCAGCAAAGAAGACCATGGAGTACCTCATTGGCAAGCGCATCGCCGAGTTGGAAACACTGGAGGGCGCGATGGACGCGCTTGGCGAAGATTTCAACCTTCAATTCAGCGTGCCCGGAGGCATGGCATCGTACCGCAAGGCCCTGGCGCTGAGCTTCTTCTACCGCTTCTACCACGACGTTCTCGCAGCCATGGATGCCCAGAGCCAACACGTCGACAAGGAAGCCATTCAAGAAATCGAGCGAGGTATCTCTGGCGGACATGAAGACCATGACGCAGCTGTTGCGTACGAGCAGGAGACTGTCGGAAGGTCCAAGAGCCATGTTGCGGCGCTGAAGCAGGTGACTGGCGAGGCACAGTACATCGACGACATCCCTTCCCTCAAGAACGAACTGCATGGGTGCTTTGTCTTGTCAAGCAAGGCACACGCCAAGATCAAGTCTGTCGACTACTCTGCAGCCCTTGACATGCCAGGCGTGGTGGACTATGTCGATATCAACGACGTTGAAACACCGGAACAGAACCGTTGGGGCGCACCGCATTTTGACGAGGCCTTCTTCGCTGAGGGCGAGGTTTTCACCGCCGGACAGCCTATCGCTATGATGCTTGCTACCTCAGCAAACAGAGCTGCGGAGGCTGCTCGCGCGGTCAAGGTCGAGTACGAGGAGCTGCCAACAATTTTGTCAATCGAAGAGGCGATCGAGCAGGATAGCTTCCACAACTACTACCGCGAGATCAAAAATGGAGACACCGAGGAGGCGTTCAAGAACTGCGACCACATCTTCACGGGCACGGCGAGAATGGGTGGCCAGGAGCACTTCTATCTCGAGACACAGGCTTCGCTGGTTGTTCCCAAGCCTGAAGATGGAGAGATGGAGGTGTTTTCTGGTACCCAGAACGCCAACGAAACGTAAGTCAAACATCTCGTGGGGAATCTTGTTCTTCAAACTAAACTCTAGCAGACAAGTATTTGTTGCTCGCATGACTGGAGTGGCGGCAAACAAGATCGTCGTTCGTGTTAAGCGTTTGGGAGGTGGTTTCGGTGGCAAGGAAACGAGATCGGTCCAGGTCACTGCACCATTAGCACTCGCAGCAAAGAAGACCAAGCGACCCTGCCGATACATGCTAACCCGAGAGGAGGACATGGTGACCTCCGGCCAGCGCCACCCGTTCCTGGGCAGATGGAAGGTTGGTGTTAACAAGGATGGCAAGATCCAAGCCTTGGATCTGGAC